GTGTGTGTGTGTGTGTGTGTGTGTGTGTGTGTGTGTGTGTGTGTGTGTCTCCGGTTACTAATTCAGAAGAGTCAGCTGTAGTGGAGCAGGGTGTCCCCAGGTCAGGAGGGGAAAAGGGAGACATTGGTGGGCTGCCCGATTCTGGGGTGAGCCTCAGCCGCCGTGTCTCCCTGCTCAGTGCTTCAGGGCCACGCGTACCGGTTCTGCACAGCCGAGGGCCTCTGGCTACACAAAGACAACTCCAGCCTGCCGTGGAGGGACCTGTCGGAGTGTGAAGAATCCAAGCGAGGGGAGAGAGTGAGCTGAGGGGTTCCAAGCCTGGGCGGGGGCAGCCAGGTCCCCGAGGCTTTGGGTGGGGCTGGCTGCTGTCACTATCACCTGTCCCCCGGCTTCCGGTGACTCCGTCCACCTGCTGTCTGGCCAAAGGTGATGTGTGCCCACTCCGGGACCGGTTGTAAACATGCCTGGACCGCTTCTGTAGGTCACTCTCTTTCTTGATTCTGGAATCCCAAGTGGGGCCCAGGTCACCTCAGTCCTTGGACCCTGGACTGAAGGGTATGGGGCAAGGAGGCCACCGGACACGTGCACATCCCCGTGTCCCTCTGTGTACACAGAGCTCCCCCGAGGAGCAGCTCCTGTCGCTGTATGTCATCTACACAGTGGGGTATGCTCTCTCCTTCTCCGCCTTGGTCATCGCCTCAGCCATCCTTGTCGGCTTCAGGTAAGGGGGTGGGGCTCGGGCCTGGGAGGGAGGGGACTGTCCGATGCTCAGTTCCCAAGCCAAAGCAACCAGGGGGTCCTGCTCTCTAGAACTTTCTGGGAAACAGGAGGTTGGAAACGTACATTGCGACACTGCGTGTTCAGTCTGGTCTCCACCGTGTAACTGTGCATGTACGCTCCAAATTATCCACATGCACACACGCACATGTTGAGGGCAGAAACCTCAGGGTAGAGGCCATCAAGAAAAGGAGAGGTGGGGTCTGGAGAGGCAGCTCAGCGCTCAGGAGCATGTCCCGCTGTTACAGAGGCCCCTGGTTCAATTCCTCGTAGCCACGCTGGGCAGCTCACAACCACTGTGAATCCAGCCCTAGGGGATCCGACGCCCTCTTTTGGTCTCTACGGGACCTGCTCACACCCCAGCACAACACATACATGTTTCAAAATAATAAAAGGAAATGTTTAACGAAAACAGGGGCTGTGGTTTTCCTCCTCTGGTCTCCAAAGCACCTGGTTTAACACTGGACATACAGTCTGTGGTTTGAATAGGTGTGGTCCCGTAGACGAATGTGTTTGAAAGCTTGGCCCATAGCGGGTGACACTCTTAGGAGGTGTGGCCTTGGGGGAGGAAGTCTGAGGTTAGATATGCTCATACACACACACACACATACACACACACACACACACACACACACACACACACACACACACCCCTATACATATTAGGCCCTTGCTTGTAAGGACTTAATTTCCACCCTCTCTCGTTGCCTTGCAGTCCTTTGCTGTCTGTAACAGCACACAGCGAGGCTAGTTGGTAATTTTAAGTGTCCCTATCCTGCTGCGGTTTCGAGGGGCGAGAATCCCTTATTGTGTGTTCATGACATTCATTCGGATGCGGGGAGTCCTATTTCGAGAATTTGTGCTGTCTCCTGTATTTCTTTCTTCATCACAGGGGGTGTGGATATTTGAAGTATTTTGTTGATTTTTCTTTCTGAATCGCAACCCTTAAGGCGATGGGGTCCTTCTGGGATTCTTGCCTGTGTGTTTCCTCAGGTCATACCCCCAGAGGCAAAATTGCCGACAACAACCGACTGCCTGGTTTTGAGTGTTTTGTTAGCCAGTGTGAGGTTGCTTGCCGGGCAGCCATTGCGTTCTGGTCACCAGTGAAGATGGTCTCCTCTGCTTTACATCCCACCCACATTTGGTATTTCCAGAATTAAGCAACGCTACTCTATAAAGCATGTAAAAGACCTACTTACGATTTTAACTTACTTAACTTTCACTCCTAGAGAGATTAGTGGAATTTTTTTTCATATTTTAGTCTATGATTTGCTTGTTTATTGATATTTTTTTTTTATTTGGCTTGTGTGGCTGTTTTAAACATTTGTCATCTGGATATTAACCCGAGACATATGTACTCTGTGCTCATTTTATCATTTTACAGTGCCTTTTATACACAGGAGTTCTGCATTTAAATGCAGTGAAATTGGTCAACTATCAAGTTTTATTGATAACTGAAATGTATTGATAAGAACTATTGATTAACAGAAGTTAATCTTATCAATGGATAGACGTTATTTTTTCTTTCACTGAAGACAAGATTTCTTTTGCTCTCCCATAGGCGAGCTTTCCTTCTGTCATTACAAAGCCACTCAGTTTCATTCCCTTCAAGAAGCTGCATAGTCTTGCTCTGCCCTTGTGGCTCTTCATTCCACCTGGAACTAAGTTTGTGTCAACCAGGTGAAAATTGGGGATTTTGCCCCCCTACACACACGGCACCCCCTACCCCTGTTGCGCTATGCCTTTGCTAATAGCCTTGCTTTGCCACAAGGGTCCCTGGGTTTCTAAGTTGGTTTCTGTCGTTTACATTCTTTTCTGTTGCTCTGTTTATCCACCCTATTCCCAAACCACAGCACCTTGTCTCCTAAAGATTTATTAGAAATGTAAGGTCTCAGGCCAGCAAGTTGGCTGAGCTAGTGAGGGCTCCCGCTGCCGAGCCTGATGCCCTGAGTTTGATCCCTGGAATCCCACAGTGAAAGGAAGGAACTGACTCCGCTGAATTCGTTCCCAGACCTCCAGCCTCCGCACAAGCGTTCAGGCATGTGTGGGCCCAAACACATACACATACATATATATCATATATACATAAAATAAGTTAATTAGTGTTGTGCTGTTTTTTAAAGGAGAAGAATGAATCCTAGCTCTCTGGCTGTGGAGATGGCCCAGTCGGTTAAACAATTGATACACAGTGTGAGAACCTGAGTTCGAATCCCCAGGACCCGCGGGAAGCCAGATGTGGTCGGTGGTGTGTGTTTGTGACCTGTTGCTCCCGCAGTGGGATGGCAGGTGGAGGCAGGAACACCCGAGCTCAGGGGCCAGCCAGCCTGGTGGGGGGGTGGAGAACGAGAGGCTGTGTCTCAAAGAAGGTGGCGGGAGGAGAGGACTGAGGCTGTCCTCTGACCTCTGCACGTGTACTCAGACTCACACACACAAACATGCACACATACGTGCAGGCATTACACACACTCACACACACACACACAGAGAGAGAGAGAGGAATGCTATACAGCTGTCTTATAGTGAAGACTCCTGTGTTGTGATTCCTTTCCATGTGTTCATTGTTTTGGGACAGAGTCTCATGGAACCCGGGCTAGCTTTGAACTTGCTGTATAGCTGGGGCTGGATTTGAACTCTCGATCCCCCTGCCTCAGCCTGCCATGCCTTGGGATTATAGGAAAGGGCCACTTGCCCACCTACACTATTCCTGACCTTTAGCTATACCTTGTAAATCTTTTAAGTAGCGTGAAAATAGTTGGCATTTTATTACAGCTGCTTTGAATTTGTTATTTAACATGGGACAGTGGCAGTGGCCTCTCTGTTCACAAGTTTGGCGTGACTATGTATTTCCCACTAATTTAAGACTTCCCTAATAATTTTAAGCCAATTGTATTATGCTGCCCATAATGATTTTACCCATCTTCTTGTTCGAGATAGTTTCAGGAAATCAAATAGAATCTTAGGAATGAAGCCTCCAGTTCTTTTGCTCCAGTTTATTGCCTGTTGCTGGAACGTGTCTGGGAAGGCCGTTGCTGGACTTTTAGTTGTTACGGTTCATCTGTAAATTGTCCTGGGGTTCCTCCGAAGAAACTTATCCGTCGTAATCAGTTCGGACTCACCCCTTCCGTGGCCCTGCTGTAGTGGGGGGTCTGTAGACTTGTCATTAGGGGTGATGATAGCATACATCCTCCACTGGCTGCCGATTTTAAAGGAGAAAGTTGCCAACTTCCTCCTTTAAGAATGATTTCAGAGAGAGGTGCGGTGGCGCAGGCCTTTGATTTCAGCACTGGGGGAGGCAGAGGCAGGTGGATCTCTGTGAGCTCAAGGCCAGCCTGGTCTACAAAGGGAGTCCAGGACAGCCAGAGCTACACAGAGAAACATTGTCTCAAAAAAGAAAAAAAAAAATGATTTCGGCTTTTGCTTCGGAGATAGCCTTTACCAAATGAAGTGCCATTAGGTTTCCAGTTTGGGGGGGGGGGGAAGAAGGGGTGCATGTGTGTTCATGCACGAGCAATTGCATGCCAAGCATGCGGAAGACAGAGAGAAACATCGAATGTCCCATTCTGTTCTGTTCCTCCCACCTTATTCCCAAGAGAGCAGGATCTCTCACCGAACATGGAGCTAGGCTGGCAGCCGACAAATGTCCTGGTCTCTACGCCCCATCCCTGCTCCACCCCCGCCCACCCCACCCCCACCCCCAGCACCGGGGTCACAGGTGCACACACGTGGCTTTTCACATGAGTGCTGGGGATCTGAACTGAGGGCCTCATGCTTACACCACACGCACTCTTACCCACTGAGGCATCTCCTCGGCCCTGCTGCGCGTTTTTACTGGAGACCTTACTGACATTGAACCCAATTCCTTTTGAATTCCTACCACGTGCCCTAGACCCACTCCGAAGTCCAGAAACATCCCGTCCTAAAGAATCAAAGCTCCCATTGGGAAGGCTGAGCCCCACACATACATAGCTTTATGGAGGAGGCACTGCAGCAAGGGTAGGAAGCGGGCGGTGACTGCCTGGATGAGGGCCTTTTAGGCAGGCAGGGCATCAGGTTGTGAAGAAGAGGGACATTCTCAGAGGAAGGAAGATGTGAATGTAGTCCCAGAAATGGACACACGCCTGGCGTGTGTGTGAGCTGGCTGGAGAGCCTGGGCTGGCCAGAGAGCCGATGCTGGCCAGACAGTCGGTTCTGACCAGCTTGCCAGGGAAGGTCCCTGCTTTTTCCCTTAGGCACTTGCACTGCACCCGGAACTACATCCACCTGAACCTGTTTGCATCCTTCATCCTTCGAGCACTGTCCGTCTTCATCAAGGACGCCGCCCTCAAATGGATGTACAGCACGGCTGCTCAGCAGCACCAGTGGGATGGGCTCCTCTCCTATCAGGTGTGTGGTGTGGCCCGGGGAGCCTGGGGAGGGGAGGACATTGCTGAAGGAGTCCGCTGCTGTACGCACGGGATGGATACAAGCAAGAGTCGTTCAGACTTGGCCTTTGGGAGTCCCTGTGTAATAGGAGAGGCAGTCCACTTAGGGCAGGAAAGAGTCCAAGGTAGGTAGGAGACTGCCCTAGGGGGTTCCGTCTGACTCAGGGAGTCCTCCGGATGCAGACCTGCGTTTGAATCCCAGCTTTACCGTGTGCTGGTTGTACACAGATCCAGACACGACCCCTAACATCCCCAGGGCTCTGTTCTCCTCCCCGCCTGGGGGCAATAGCAGGTGCTTTCCTCAGTGAACTAAAGCGGAGAGAGTTCCCAGCAGTGTCCCTGGCCGTAGGAAAGCTCCTTGGGACAGTGGCCAGGCCGGCGAGGAGGGGCAGGAGGGGCAGGAGGGGCAGGAGGGGCAGGAGGCAGGGCGTCTGACCCCACAGGACGCTTCTCTGCCCCCAGGACTCTCTGAGCTGCCGCCTGGTGTTCCTGCTCATGCAGTACTGCGTGGCAGCCAACTACTACTGGCTCCTGGTGGAGGGCATCTACCTGTACACGCTGCTGGCCTTCTCAGTGTTCTCGGAGCAGCGCCTCTTCGTGCTGTACCTGAGCCTAGGCTGGGGTAAGGCCCACCATCGTTCACCTCACCACACCTCCACGGGGACCAGCAGCAAGGGTGGAAGACCCTGGTTTCTTTTTTTCCTTTAATAAATCTCTTTCACAGTAGATGCTTCCTCTCTTGCCACCACGTATCAATCCCCCCCAGCCAAGCCCCACCCCCAGCCCTTAGCCCTGCCAGCCCACCTCTGGAAGTCAAGACCTCTCCTCCCGGGGTCCTACGGGAGAGCAGTTCGTACCCAGGGCAGGGAAGGGCAACCCGAGATCCTGCGGGAGGTGCCCTGGGCCTCGTGGTAGGCAAGGGGTAGGCAAGTGAGCAGGATGCGGGGGTGGCATTGGATGCTGCTGGATGAAGGGAAGGGCTCAGGGGAGAAGCAAGCTGGGAGGGGTGACCGGCCGAGGGAAGGGCTAGACTTCGGATGTGCCTGGAGCCCAGCTGGAAATGTTCTAGCCAAAAAAGTCTACTGAGAACCATGTGCCTTTTTTTTTGCTGGAACATTTCTGGTTGTGTTTCTACCTCTCGCCACGTGGGAGCTTCGTGGGGGCGGGGTGGGGGTGTTGCAGTTTGGTTGGGGTGCGGCTGGGCGGCTTGGAGCCCTGCAGTAGCAGGGAGACAGCCCCTCCTAGAAGGGCCATGGGTACCCCTACTTGGGATGGAACAGAGGACAGACCTTGCCTGGCCCTCCTTGAGCTACCCCTGAGTTTTCCTCTTGGCGCCATGCCTGTAGTCCCTAGAGCTATTCTGATCCCTCCAGCCTTGGCTTCCGGAGACTTCTCAGCTTAGTCACAGTGGACTGCGCTCTCTCCTCCGGGTCCTGCTTCGGCCCTTCCAAAACGCTGCTTGGTGCTGGGACCGTCCTTCTCACTCAGGCTTGCCATGTCACCTTCCAGGATGTTGCCTCAGGTTTCCAGCCCCCTGGGGCCCCGCTCTCTGGCCCTCTCAGCCCCTCTGCACTCTCCTTGCACTCTGCTTGTTCCTTCCGGTCTCCTCAGCCACCTCAGCACTGAGGAGCTCTACCTGGGGTTTAGTGTTAAGGTCTCGAAGACTCAGAGGGTAACAGGGCCCTAGAGACAGAGCAGGAACTGGGTCATAAGAGGCTTCCAGCTTCCTGGTTCTGGGCCATGATGTCTACTTCTGGGCCATGATGTCTACTTGCCAAACATAGGTCTTGGTGTCTGTTTTCCCCTTAGTCCGCTGCTGGTTCTGATGAGCAGACTTAGGTCTTCATACAGATGAGAGTGGCCCTGGCTCCAGTGTTCGGAGATTCCTGATGGTCCCTTTCCTCCTCCCTTCTCCTCCTCTTTCTCCTCCTCCTCCAAGACCCAGCCCATCCTCCTAGATCTTTCCTTCCTTCCTAAGGCTCTCTATCTTGCCAGGCAGCACCATCAGGTGGGGCATCTGGAGCATCCTGATGCTCCCTAGGGCTGGGCGCAGGGACAGACCATTAAGGAGAACTCAGGGATGGGCTACCTCTGTGTGGGGGACAGATAGTGTCTGTTCTGGGAAATAACATCATTGCTGTTTGTATCTGTCACCATGGCAACCCAAGGGGCAGGACCAATCAAAGGGATGTGTGCCGGAAAGCCGGGAGTGGTAGGGGTCAGTGGAGACATATGGGGGAAGGGTGACAGTTCTTTCTTGCCTCTCCTACCTCAGGGCTCAGGACTCTCGGGGACATCATCCCCAATGAGAACATCTTTTCTTGAGAAAGTGAGGTAGGGAGAGAAGGGGTCAGAAAGAAAGCAAGAGTCCCGGAGACCTACATGCTCTATGGCCATGTCAGGAGGCCTAGCCCAAGTCTGGCTTCCTGTGCAGCCAAACTAAAAGTAAGACTGATGCAGTTGTGAGAAACCCCTGAAAGGTATCAACTGTGCTGCCATCCAGGAGCAGCTGGGCATCCCCAGAAGGGAGATAAGTGACTGCGGGAAGACGTGACTTCCCAGGACCACCTGTTCTGGGCATCTGGTTGACCTTTCTCCCCTAGCTTGTCTTAAGGAAACACAGCCTGCGGGGGGTGGGGGGGTATGTCACCTTGGCAGGAGGCAGGGCTGTGTTTCCTGTTTCCTTGTAAGGATCTTGATCACCAGATGTGAGTGGATGACGTTTGCCAGGGCTCGCTGGTGACATGAGCAAGCAAGCTGTCTCACACTGGAGTGAGGTCTCAGAGAGAAAGAACCACAGCCGATGGCAGACACACAGCGGGAGTTCCTGTACACGTGTGACCTAAGAAATTGCATGTTTTGTCTAGAGAGCATCCTTTCACTCCATGATATACTTATCATCCCTACTGGGCATATTCTGCCAAGAGGGTCCATGCCATGCCCCCGGGGCCCTCCCAGGCATGCCATTATTTGTTCAGGCCAATGAAAGCCTGTTTATAAAACATCGTGGGTGCTGGAATGGCTGGTCTGTGTGAAAAGAAATTGCTTTCTGCACAGTCGTGAGGGCTGGAGTTAGATTCCCCAGGACTCAGCAAAAGGAAGTTGTGACGCATGCTTATTATTCCAGTGCTGGGGAGATGGGAACAGAAAGATGCTCAGGACTTATTGGCCTAATAAGTTTGGCCTAATTGGTAAACCCCGGGTTCCAGTGAGAGCCCCTGACTCAAAGAACAAAATCGACAAGATCCTCAGGAATACACCTGAGGTTGTTTCCTGGCCCTCACAGCAATGAGTATGTTCACTCACACACACCCTCGAACATGGGTAAGGACACACACACACACTAAATGAATGTGATAATACTTCTAAACAACAGTAAACTAGGTGAACAGACCAACGGGGGGATTGGATGAATGCTGGCCAGATGTGCACAGCTGGATCCCCGCCCCTCTCTGAATCTCGGCCCAGTGCAGTAAGCCTGACTCACAAGTTGCTCGGCAGCCATGACTAAGTGCGACCCAGTGACTTAAGGACGCTTGATGATGATGATGGAAAGGTTATGAAGTAGTTCTGCCTTGGAAATCCACATATGTACACACACACACACAATCACACCCTGTGTCCTGCTTCATACACCCGCATGACCAACTTGAGAAAGGTGTAGGCAGGAGGTGGGTAGAGAGAATATTCATGCAGAAAGCCACTGAGGGTGGCTGGAGTGGGCAGAGGGTAACAGCCCCAGATCTGCTCCCCCCCTCAGTTCCTTCCTCCTGATCCACCTCCTCACCTGCCATGAGAGGGCAGACAGCCCACCTGCCAGTTAACCAATAGAGAGTGAGCTCGGGGTGTGAGGGAGGCCCCGGTCTGCTCTGGAGACCTGAGAAAGCAGCTAACTTGCACTTCCATTGCTGTATAACAATGACCTTGAACCTTGGAGCTTAGAACATTAAACCACTGTCTCATAGTTCTCATGTTCAAAAGTCCTGAGTTCAATATGGCTGCACATGCCTGACTCAGAATCTCCAGCTGGATCTGTCTATTAGTCAGAGTCGCTGTCATCCAGGGCTTGACTGGGGACTCTGTCCCCAAGCTCACTCAGGAAGCTACAGGCAGGAACCCTCCATTCCTTGCTGTAGGGACCTCTCTGTAGGCTGTCACAGAGAAGTCTTAGCATGACAAACTCCCCTCCCTTTTTTTACTCTCCCAACTAAACAAAGAGAAACCACAAAAGTCTACAATCCTAGCTGTTGGGAAGTGGATGGAAGAAGATCAGGAGTTCAAGGTCACCTTTGACTTAGTTTTAGGCTAGTTTAGGCTGCTTGAAGTCCTGTCTCAACAACACCAACAGTGGCAACGTGAATACAAGAGGTAGTAATCCCTGGGAACCGTCTACGTGGCTTCCTATAAACTGTCTTAGTCGACTTTGCACTGCTGTAACAGAAGGCCTGCAACAGAAAGAGAAAAGGTTTATGTGTAAGGTCACACCGTCCTGCAGGCTCAAGTCAAAGATTAGGCAGACCCATGGCTTTGGCCCTTTTGTGGTGGGGCCACATTAGTGTTGGGATGCCTATAGATGAGTGACTAGCCCACCTCATGCCAGGAAACAAAAATGAGAGACCAGACAGGCTGGGGTCCCAATGTCTCCTTTGGGAGGGAGAGCCCTCAGAGCCCATCTTCTCAGGACTCCACCAGCAACTAGCATCACACGGATGCTTATCTAGACCCCAGCGCCCACTGAGAAGCCTGACTGCTGTATTGTTGAGCCTGTAGGCTCCTGTGCAGCTGGGGACAGGGTGTGTGTCCCTTCTGGGCCTTGGACAGGTGCATGGGGGAGGAAACAAATACCTGAAGGGGCTTCTGGGTCCTGGAGGAGTGGACGGAAGCAGACATGCAGGCTGAAGGAAGGGAGCACGGAGCATCAGAGAGTTTCCTGGTCCCCTCCTCAGCCACCATGCCCCCCACCCATCACGTTGTTCTGATCCTTTGCCTCTTGAGTATCTGAGGCTCTCGAAGCCAAGACCCTGGAGGCAGATCCCGAGAGTGTGCCCGACACACGGGAGGGCTGGGACATGAAGGACTCTGTCAGGAGGGATGCTGGCCATTGTTGTGGAACCCCAGATCTCCGGTCTCCCATGCACTCAGACCAGCATGTTTGAGGGCCGGGAAGGGAGAGGGACTGGAGGTGTGAGGGGTCTGGGGTGTGGAGAGGACCTGGGCACCGCAGCAGCAGCTCTGTCCTGCCAGCTCTTCTCTCCGCTCTGTCTTTCCCTCCCTCCTGCAGGTGTCCCCCTGCTGTTCGTTATTCCCTGGGGCATTGTCAAATACCTCTACGAGGATGAAGGGTGAGTGTCCTGCTGCAGGGGAGTGGTGCTCTGGGCTCTCATCCTCCTCACCCATGGGATCCTTGAGCCCCGGAGCACAAGTTTATCACCTGTTGGGGAGGACTCATGGGGTCGGCAGGAGTTTAGCATATGAATTCAGTCTCTTATCTCCTTTCCCTGAACCTGCCGTGGCATGGAGTGATGATCAGCATTGCTGGCCTTTGCCTTCGTGATGGCTTTTATGAACATTAGTGTGAACAGCCTGTTGTTTCGTGTGTAACGCTGGGCGTGCGTGTGACTGTTTGCAGAGGTCCATGAAGACGGGGAGGGTATGGGTATCTCTGTGTGTGGCCATCTTTTGAGGACTGGGGTGCTGGGTGTGGGTGCTGCAGCTGCAGGGCTCTGCATGGGTCTGTGGCTGGATGCAGCACTTTGCTTGGCCTCGTGCACTGTGCCTCTGTCCTGCACTAGCCCCGGGGCCCTGTGCATCCAGCTGGATGCCTTGTGTACCCGTCTCTTCCTCCCCAGCTGCTGGACTAGAAACTCCAACATGAACTACTGGCTCATCATCCGACTGCCCATTCTCTTTGCTATTGGGGTGAGTGGCAGAGCTGGGGACTGGGGTGGAAGCTGCCAGACCTGGACTGAGATCAGGCCAACGACTCGGGGAGAATGAGAGGCCCCAGCCTCCTACCCATGTGCTCTGCAGGTCAACTTTCTCATCTTCATCCGGGTCATCTGCATCGTGGTATCCAAGCTGAAGGCTAACCTCATGTGCAAGACTGACATCAAATGCAGGTACTTTACCAAGCTGGCTATGGGGGGTACCCTCAGCCTTCCCTTCCAGCAGAGAGAGAATCTTGGGGCACTCTGTTTGGAGCCCTGGGTAGTGCTCTTTTCCCATCCAGGCCTGGTTTGTGACCCCTCAGCTTTCTCCTCACTCTGTTCTTAACAGCCCCTGGACTTTTGGAGCCTTGACCTCTGCCATCACCCCACCTCACACATCCAGGCATATTTTCCATGAAGAGCGTCTATAAATCAGAAAGCAGGAAGGCGGGGGATGGGCGCGGGGAGGGAAGAGCCGTCTATGCACAAGCCCAGATTGACGCAAGTGGTCTCTCACGCTCTCTCCAGGCTCGCCAAGTCCACGCTGACACTCATCCCCCTTCTGGGGACACATGAAGTAATCTTTGCCTTTGTGATGGATGAACATGCCCGAGGAACCCTCCGCTTCATCAAGCTCTTCACAGAGCTCTCCTTCACATCCTTCCAGGTGACTCAAAGCTAGGGCCACTTGCCTGGGATGTCCCAAAGTGAGGGAGGGGCAGGCACTAGCCTGCTTCGTGCAGATGGGAAAGATGGGTAGGCCTTGGCCTGGGAGAACAGTCCAGGCCCCGAGTCACACGGTTGGAGCAGAGCCAGAATGAGTATGCTCAGGTAATTGGGCATATGTGTCAGTCTTCTCTGTAAGTCCACAGGACAAGAAGTCTTCCCAGATGTGGGCCTGGGCATCTGGACATCTAGAGAAAGGCATTGCCATATGCTAGCATCCTGCCAGACAATTTATACATACAATACATTCAGTCCTCCCAGAACCCGCAGCTGAGAGCTTGCCCCTGCTTGACATAACTGGAAACCAAGGCCCAGAGATGTTAAAACAAGATCTACAGGGTGTTGTCTGACTTCTCTAGGGAGACATGAGTAGACATCTATTCATCCCAGAGAGGGCACTGACAGCCAACTAAAGAAATGATTCCACTGAAGTCCAGTTGGTGAACCGATGAGCCTGTTAAGGTTGGGTACAGCAGCATGCGAGCTGTGTCCCTGAAAAGCCCACCCCAGCCCGGGTGATGACTCACAAAACTTGCATCCCTGGCACTCCCTGCACAATCGAGGAGAGTCTCCTCTTTCCCCGGCAACTGCTCACATAACCCTGTGGAGAGAACTGTACCTTTCTCAGCTTCCTGAGTCTTGTAGGTTCCATGACCTTCCTGGATCTTGTAAGTCGCCTCCCTCCTTCCGGGAAGGGATAGCTCAAGTCAGAAGAACTAGCCATACAACACCGAGGTCACACAGGTTCAAAGCAAGGAACTGGCCCTCCTCACTAGCATTAGATAATGCAGCATGGGCGGAAACTGTTAGAAACCATTGCTGAAGAGACGGCTCGGCCCTTGAGAGCCCTTGCTGCTCTTGCGGGGGACTCAGGTTTGGTTCCCGGCACCCATGTGTTACCTTGCACAGTTGCATACACACACATGCAGCCCAGTGGCCTAGCTGTGGGCCACGGGGACCTAAGGTCAGTAATGGGCTGGAGTGGGGAAAGCCTTTTACCTGGTCCCACCCTTCTCAAGGAGCAGTGGCCAGGGAACTTCCACAGCACCTGAGCGAGGGGCCTCCTGTCTCCTGAAAGGAAATAAGGGAAAACAAAACAAATGAACGACCTTGCCCGGGGCTAGAGAGATGGCTCGGTGGTTAAGAGCTGTTCTGGCAGAGGACCGGAGTTTGACTCCCAGCACCCACATGTTGGCTCACAACTACCTAGAACCCCAGTCCTAGAGGATCTAACCCCCTCTTCTGGCTCCTGGGGGTACCAGGCATGTTGTGTAGAGACATACATGCAGACAAAATACACACATACACATATACACACTCCCCCCCCCCCAATTTATTTTGAAAAGTTAAAAGGGAAAAAAAATAAACCTTGTCTATTCCCAAGCTTGCCTGGACTGCCTGATTTGAAGAGAGAGATGTCAAGGGCTGGTCACCCAGTTGCCTCCTTTGGGCTCCCTTCCTGCTAATGTGCCTCTTGTTTCCAGGGCCTGATGGTGGCTATCTTGTACTGCTTCATCAACAATGAGGTAAGGTCTGAGGAGGGGCCCTGCTGGGGCTGCTGCCATTGCCTGGTATGGGGCTATGCCGTGGGAGCTCTCTGCAAGTCTCTCTAGCTGAAACCTCCAGTCCCCTCACTATGGCTTAAAAATCGAGGTGACATCTTGCCTTCACCTTCTGTTCTGTGCTCCCCATCACACACACACACACACACACACACACACACACACACAGACACACACACACACACGAAAAAAGAGCTTAGAATGATCCAGCCTCACATCAAAGGGTTAATGCTGGCTATTTCAAGCAGGGGTGTCCAGCCTTTTGACCTTGCCATATGTCATTGTCATGCACAAGTGACTGTGGACACATCCGTTGCTATCCTAATATGCATGCAGCCATTAGGCCACAGGTTGGGCACACCTGATTTATTGCAAAGTGATTCAACACCCATGTGCCCAAGCCACTCTTGTGGCCTCTGCCCACAAGAGCTGTTCTCCAGACCCGGGGTTGCCATGGCAATGCCAGGTACTTCTGACCTGAGAAGATGGCTTGAACATCCGTCTCGTGGGGTTGCCAAGGCCTGCACCAGCTGCCGGTCGGTGGGGAGTGGGGACAGGAGGGGTGAACTGGCGATGGATTTACTGTGGCTTGTGTCGGAGGGCCAACGTGAAGTAGCTCAGGAGCCAGGAGTGCTCGGCCCATCCTGCTCTGCCAATAGCTGTGACTTCAGGCTAGCCTTGTTGTCATCGTTTCCTCTTCTGCCCAGGGGTCAGTGGAGGTGAGAAAGCTTTAGAAAACCCTGAGCCCCATCTGACACTTAGTCAGGGAGGGCACTTAGGAGGTGATGCTGGGCTTCAGTGCAGAAACATTAGACGGTGCAGAGGTTAACATTAGATGCCAGGCCAGACCATTCATTCATTCATTCATTCATTCATTCATTCATTCATTCATTCAGGTATCGGCACTGTGTGTGTGTGCCACAGAGCACAGATGAAGATCTGTAAGGTTCTGGTGATCCAACTCAGGTCATCAGGCTTGGTGGTGGCAAATGCCTTTACCCACTGAGACATCTCACCAGCCCCGGGGTCGCTCTTTGTTCTTATTCCTCTCGGGTCAGCGGGAGGACCTGTGTCAGAGGCCCATTCGCTGAGTGGTCATTCATTCACTCATTCATTCATTCATTCACTGGGGCGCTGCGGCAGCCTGCAGCGAATGCCTGCTGGGTGCTGAGCGCTGTGCTCGGGGCACGGGCGCTCGGAAGAGGAAGATGTGCTCATGATTCTCACGTGCTCTCCGCTGAGTGGGAGGAGACATGGCCGGAGACCAGCTGGGCTTCTAGAGCAGCGGCAGACAGGAAACTGGTGGTGAACTGGCGGGTGCTGGAGTCAGGCCTGGGCTCTCATCTTGGCTGAGCCCCGGGAGATATTTACATGTTCTCTGCCCCCTCACCTTTCCTTGAGGAGTGATGGCTGCTTCCCAGTATTAACCAAGACAGTGTTTCTCTTTGGGTGTGGCTATGTTTGGATGTGGCTATGGTGTGTACTGTACATGTGTGTGGAGGCCAGGGAGCTGTGCCAAGGGTCTTCCTCACATACCCTCCGCCTTGTTTTGAGACAGTCACTCTTGTTGAATCTGGGGTTCATCAATTAGTTAGAGCCCCAGGGATCCACCTGTTTCTCCCCCAACACACACACACACACACACACACACACACACACTCACACACTCACACACACGCACCCCTCCTGTGCTGGACTTTTATATCTGAGCCAGCATGCTCAGCTTGTTTTTAAGATTTTTTTGTTTTGTTTTATGTATACGAACGTCTTTACCTGCATGTGTGTCTGTATACCTCATGTATACCTGGTGCCCATGGAGGCATTGGCTCCACTGGAAATGGAGTTATAGATGTCCAATGGTCATGAGCCACAAGTGGTTGCTGGGACTCGAACCTGGATCCTCTAGAAGAGCAGCCAGCGTTCAGGTTCTCATGTTTCTGATGCAGGTGATTTACTGACTGGACCATCCCCCACAGCCCCTAGTTGTTCTTGATGACTGGAGCTGCCATGGTGGCTCAGAAAAAGTGTGAAGGGAGACAGGCTCAAAAGAAACCATGTGCTCTAAGTCCTGCTGGCTTGGCTGTGCCTCACTATACCAGTTTCCTCTTCCAAGTGGAAGGCTCTGAGAGGTTTGCTTTCCTGCTGCTGTGCAGAAGGGAGCCATCTTTGGGCTCAGTGTCTCTATCCAGCTGCTCACACTACACAAGCCAGGCATGACGGCCATAGGTGGTGTCTGCTCTACCTCCTCCCCTCACCCTCTACGGCTGGTCCACGAAGCCCTGCGAAGCACAGAAGTTCTCGTAAGGGATGGCTTGTAGCCACATGGGGTGTCTCAGGGCTTAAGGCTCCCTGGATGGCGTGGGAAGAGGAGGAGTGTCTGCCTAGGGACAGGTAGAGGCACTGGCAGGGAGCCACTGGCAGCTGGCCCTCCTGATGGCTTGTGTCTGAAAGGCACGCAGTCCCCAGACAGCCCTAGATGGAAAGGCTGGTGGCAAGGATGCAGAGCAGACAAGGAGAACAACTCCCGGAAGAGCGATCCAGCCCTCAGGAGATGCTGTGCAGCCTGTAGCAGCCCTCTCCAGAACGGCCTTCACAGAGCTGTGACGGAGCCGCAGCCTTACCATGAGCTCCACCAGGAGGCATCAGAGCCCCTCCCTGTTCTGTGTAACTTTCTGCCCCAGCAGTCTGACCTCCAGTGTGTACCTGCTGAGAAGTCTCTTCCCGTGGGGAAGGCCTGAGCTCAGCACAATAGGGAATGAGGTTGGCCAAGCTCACATGGGCAGATTGTCCAGTCAGGCTCCCTTCAGTTTTCCTGAATGGGATGAGTTCAAAGCTGGGTCTTGTCTCATCCCCCTGGCTTCCTTTACCCCTTCCCTGCCCTTGGGAGGTTCAGGGACTGAGTGAAAAACGTGAAGGGAAACTGGGCTTGCATTCCCAGCATTCAGGAGGCTGAGGTAGGAGGGTGAATAGTTCTAAACCAGCCTGGGCTATCTAAGTGAGAAAACAAACAAACAACAAAAACCCACACCCAAACAAAACAAAGCGAAAGCTCCTGAGGGAGTTTAGATGCTGAGGGCCAGGGGCTGGCAGGCCTTCTCTTTTCAGTTGTCCAAGCCACGCTGTGAGAGCACATGATAAAGCGAGACTCCATCTTCTCCAGTCCTCTCTCCCTCCCTGCATCTCTCCCTCGCCCTCATTCTCTTCCGTTAAATAATACCATGATGGGTCGTAAGAGGTACTTAGCTGAATCACTGAATTTAGAGATGGGAAGGGCCGATTAGGTCCTCAAGCCCAGCTCTCTCCAGAGGAGAGGCAGAAAATAGGAGACAACAATAAACAATTTTATTGGGATATTAATTTAGGCGCCTGAAGACCTTGACTTGTGTCTCTTAATATAATCCAGTGGATTTTTCCCCCTTCTCTGCTAATGTAATAACAGGCCCATTTTGTGGGCAGTTGGTTTGCCTGATGGCTTTTTGCTTCCCTCCCTCTCCCTGTTTCTTTCCCACGGAAGGTCCAGATGGAGTTTCGGAAGAGCTGGGAACGCTGGAGGCTAGAGCATTTGAACATCCAGAGGGACAGCAGCATGAAGCCCCTCAAGTGTCCCACCAGCAGCGTGAGCAGCGGGGCCACAGTGGGCAGCAGTGTGTACGCAGCCACCTGCCAGACTTCCTGCAGCTGAGCCCCAGGGGTCCTTGCTGCTGGCTGGGTGGCCATCCCAGGTGGGGGAGAGCCTCCCAGGAACAGGGAAGGGGAGAGGCGCAGGCACACACACACACACACACACTCACACACACACACACACACACACACACACACACCCCTTGCTTTCCTTCTCGAAACCTATTAGACAGGCAAGTGGGACCGTTAGACACACGTTCTCCAAGGAGAAGAGCCTGCTAATTTAATCACCATGGCAGGAAGAGAGGAAGAAATGATTGCTGCTAAAATGAGGAGGACTTCTTCCTGTTAGAGCCACAAGGCCCTTGGGGTTCCCTCAGACAGAACAGCAAATCAACCCCGGCCTCACACTCAAGGGTAATTGCTGATTAGTGAACTGGGGCCGCTGAGAGGAGGCAGTTCCACAAGAGACCTGCCATGGGAACCTCCACCAGCACGGAGCTTGGTGAGCCGGGCTACAGCAGCCTTCCTTGTGAAGAGAGGCGTTCTCTGGCTGCAACCCTCGTCTGCCCTTTCACCTCAGCATCCTGTCTTTTCCTGGGGGCACTGGGGTGGGGAGCTTTGTTGAAGCTACGATGTGCAGCTTCTTTCTGGAAGCGGCTGTTAGTGGTGTTGAGGATAAGTGTTGAGCTGATGCTCAGAGGTGGCCTTTGCCGGTACTTGCTTCCTCACCCAGCCTTTTCAGCTGCCTTGATCTTGGCCTCCGCTGTGCCTAGGGTACTAGGGCAAGTCTCCCGGTGCGGAGCCCAGACGTGGGGAGTGGAGCCTCAGTTCTGTCGTAAAGATGCTCAAATGGCCTCCAGGGCTCATCTAGAGACACTTAAGGAATGTCCCCCTAGGGGTGTTGGTGACATGAATCTGAAGGACCGTGGGACCCATGGCCTCCACACCTTCACCTCACCTGTGACCAGCTTCTATGTCTTGGATGGAAACTGGGGCACATCCTCTGACTTCAGAAGAGGCTCTTCCACAGAAACCAAAAGCTCCTGCCATTGCCGTGGTGGCAGGCTCCCCCCTGCCTTGACAGTCCTACCACTCTGAACATATACATACTTCGTTATCTTTTTCCTTTATTGCCTTGACTGCTGGGTCTATTCAAACATAGACTTCCAATTTCTCCCAACCATTGGAAGAACTAAGCCGTGCTGTTTGAGGGGAGTGGAGGAAGTGATTGACTTTTAATCCCCCCACCGTTGTTGCTAAGTCATGTCTGTCTTACCTCCAGACTGCCCACCACCCCACACACACACACAATGAGTGGCAGATAGAGCAGGGTAGACAAACATATATCACTCCTGTCCTCTGGCTACTGTGAGAAAGCTGGCAGGGGACGGCTCTGCAGGGACCCAAACCCAAGGCACTGCAATGGGTTTAGAGAGGCCAAGGAAGGTTTCAAAGGTGGAGAGAATCTCCCAGTTGTCCGGACCTCCTTTGAAACTGGGGTGGGGCTGGCTTTGAGGGGAGTCTCTCATGAGGCCGATCTCTTCCTCGACCTGTAGGAAGTGGGGGGACCCTTCCCAATGCTTACACTAGGGACATTCTCCTGTGTCCTTTGGTGAGACATGAGGCATGTATGGGAGATGATAATGGGCGATAAAACATACCAAGCAGAAAATGTTTTATCCTTCAGCTTCATCCAAGTGTTGTGTCTACTTTAATAGAGCAGCAGAACCTCAGGCTAGAGAAAGGAGCCATGCAGCCTGGCTGCCTCCTTGATCAAGGCGAGGGGGTTCAGTGGGAGAAGTGGGCCTTGGGTCCTCTGCTCCCTAAGAAAAGGGCAGGTTCCCCAGTGGGCACCTCTTTCTCGTTTCCACTCTGGGAGCAGTGAAGAGATAAGCGTAGATAAACTGGGAAATTACACACAAGTGAAAGGAAAATATGTCTGTCTAGATATAATCTGCCTAAAATAAATTTTATAGGGGAGAGATGCTGAAACAGCCTAGGCAACTCAGGAGGAGCTTTTGCATGGAGTTCTTTTCCCTCTGGAACCCTGGATTCCTGGGTTCACCACACCCCACATTCCAAGATCTTTAATGTGGGCTTTACTTCCCAGATTCCTGGCCCTCAAAAGGTCTTGGCCATTCTGTGAGTCCCTCCCCACGCTATTAATGTCTGTTTGAGTGGCACCACACTCCGTCTGAGCTCTTTCCAAACTTGTTTAAGCTAAATATAGCTCCCCCAGGTCTGGGAACCATCTGATGCTATGTACTCTGAAATTCCACAGCTGTTTACATGCCTGGGGCCATAAATCTAAGCCTGGCCCTTGCTGAGAGTTCTCTTGGCTTCCCCTGATGCTGTCCTGGGGCTGCTATTGCTGGTCTATAGGGTATCAGAGGTGGTTTTGTTGGAGCTACACGCCAGCAGGCTCATATGGTCGTCGTCAATGGTTGCTGGCTTCAGCACTCTGGCCAGCTCCTGGGAATCAGGTCGGGGCTGAAGTCTCCTCAAAGCCTCTTCCATTCCACTTCCGTCTTTGAATAGCTGAATTGCTGAACTTTACAAACCACAGTGCAAAGCTGCCTTCTCCTTCAAATGACTCTGTCGAAGGCGGACTTGATCACAGTTGCCCCAGGGCCGGGCCTCTGGGCAGGCCAGGTGAAAGCCTAAATGATCATTCAAGATGTGCCAAGTACAAGTCTTTATGTGACCGGGAATTTCTATTGAAGAAAAAAAGAGGCCCATGGTGTGGCAAAGAAGAGGCGAGAGGAAGCAGGGGGTGTTTTACAGTCCACTCTAGTACCTCCCTTGTTCTGAAAATTAGCAGAGGAGGGGGCTGGAGAGACGGCTCAGCGGTTAAGAAGGTAAGCTGCTCTTGGAGAGGACCCTCATTCCCAGCACCCACCTCAGAAGGCTTACGGCCTCCTGCAAGTCCAGCTCCAGGGAAACTGACACCCTCTTTTGACCTCCTCTGGAACCTGCACACATGTGACACGCCCACAACTCGCATGGACACACACACATGCACAGTAACAAATGAAGATGTGAAACACATCTGCACGCGGGGCTGCAGAGAAACGGGACTGATGACATTTGAGCGAGCAGTCACGGGATTCTTAATGCCTTGTCCTAAATTTCTTCAGATTTATCTCTTCGTGTGCTTGATAGGCACACGCGAATCGGCTGAGAGAAGTGAAGGGCTGGCCCTGGACTTCATCTCTCCCAGTCTAGTGCTCCCTGAACTGGGCCACTAGATGGTACAGTGCTCTGAAGGACAAGCAGAGTGAGTTCTCGCGCAGGTCTGAGCTGGCTGGGTTTTAGCAGCTCGAGGGAGAGAACCCTCCGTGTGTCTGTGATTGTCCCAGGCATCCCAGCCCAAGGAGAGGAGATGCTGGAGCGAGACTCAGCCCTCCTCCACCAGGAAGGTCACAGGCCTGCCACAGCCCAGGGTGGGGCTGGCTGGTAGTCTGGCAGATACAGCCCCTCGATGCGGAGACAGAGGCTCCCATTATCACTAATGCCTGCGGCGTGCTCAGGGAAGGCAAAAAGATGTTTCCAGGCTTCATTTTCCATCTGCTGAATTGACTCTAATCTACAGGGCTGACTTTACTTTTGGCTCCTAGGAGGCAAACTGTCTTTTCTTTTTCTTTTTTAAAATCCTCAAATAATAGAACACGGGGATTGATTCTGCTAAGACAGCTATGCAAATGGCATGTTAAATATTCAACAGAAAGCAAATTAGCATCAGCTCTAACGTGGTGAGGTGGGCCCTCCTCCCACCCCTCAACCTTTTTTTTTTTTTTTTTCCTGGCTCAAATGTTTCCTTGGTGAAAAAAAAAAAATGGAGTCCAATTTGAGAAACTTTTACCAACATTGTCCAGCACCTATGCTGCTGTCTGCAGCATGAACTATTTCTCTGGCCCTGGGGAAGATCACATCAAGAAGCACTATTCAGGACCAGCGGAGGGATGGGCAGCAAAAGGCATTTGCCTCCAAGCCAGATGACCAGAGTTTGATCGTGGGTCCCGTGTGGTGGAGAGAAGTGACTCCCAAAGTTGTTTTTTGACTTTCACATGCATGAAGTGGCATGCGTGTCCCCTCCCCCACATACACAGACCCACGTAAATAAATTAAATAATAAATAAATAGGTGTGATTTTGAAACATTTGAAAGAATGATAACAGACACATTGCTTTGGAAAATGTTCTCCTTAATAAAGAAGCATGGGTTAGTGCTGTAATTTCGAGAGCTTTCCTTGGTGCCATGATGGGGGTCTAGAGTATCCGTGATTACTTCTGCTCTGCTGCTGGGAATGATTGGCAGGAAGCAGACGGGGCAGATGGTAAATCAAAGCAGTAAAGACACCACACAAGCACTTCAGCCTTCGCTTCGGCGTTAAGGACCTCACTATGTAGTGCAGGCCAGCCTAGCACTTCCCTGTCTGGAGGTAAAACAATAACAACAAAACAAACAAAAGCCAGAAAGAACAGTATTTAAAAAGTGAAACTGAGAGGGCTTGAAAAATCTAGTTGCTGTACATAGAAAGAAGTACATAAAATAGAAAAAGGAGAGATTGGGTTGCTGAGATGAGTTAAGAACAGTTGTGATTCTGGCAGGCCGGAGTTTGATTCCCATCCGCACCGTGATGGCTCACACCCATCCATAACCTGAGTTCCAGGAGATCCAATAGGCATGCGTGTGGCATATACACATGTAAAATAGTAAATCTAGAGAAAAACACAAAGAGAATCGAAGCAGAGAATCTGGGGTGGTGGCTGGCATCTATAATCCAGCCACTCGGGAGGCTAATGGAAAAGGATTACCTGGTGTGGACTAGAGTGAGACCTGGTCTCAATACAGCAAAACAAAACTCGCAGGGTTAAAGGAGATACATTTCTTAGATACCCGATGGCATGGCAATTGTCTTTTGAGACAAGACAGACCATGGGATTCCCTGCGAACCTGCTGGCCACGGTGGCCAGGGAAGCAGGTAGGTGATCTTCACTCTCACCCCCAGCTCTGAAAGACCTCCTGCTGTGGCCTCCTCTTCCTCCCTGCCCCCATTCTAAGGGGACTATGAAGATCCTGGTGGCACATTCTGCTCTTCTTTCTCCTGTAGATCCATCAGTTCTAGCCCC